CTTTCCCCAGTCAGGGCTGTGTGCATGCGTGTGGTGGCTGGAGGTTATGGTGCCTCCTACTCACCTTTCACCAGGGGGGATCCTCGGTCCTGGCATTTCCTGGGGCTGCTGCACTGCCAGCAGTCCCACCAGACCTCCCCAACCCTGGCAGAGTACAGTTTTAGTGGTCATGCCCAGGACCTGGGGTCTCCTCCATCCCCATAGCCCAGTAGCGATGCACAGGGGGTGCACAGGGGTGCTCGTGCACCCCCTGAGAGCGCTAGTGCCCCCCTTGTCAGGCCACACTCCCTGTATAGGCAACAGGCAGGGAGGTAGGCAGGAGTGCCAGTGCCCCCCTGTGAATGCTGGCCGGGAGTGGGGCCGCCAGCAAAAGCGGCCACGCCGCTTCTGGAAGTGGCCGCGGGACTTCTGGAAGCAGTGTGGCCGCTTTTTGGTGAGTGAGATTGGCTGCAGGGGGACCCCACCCCCAGTCAGTGTGATCGGCCACCAGGGGACACCACCTCCCCCTGGTCACTGACTCAAGAGGTACCCAGTCACCCATGGCCATAGCCCCAGCTCATACCTCCAAGTTCATCCTGGCATAGAAGCTCAGCAGGGACATGTTCTTCTCCTGCTGGTTGGTGATGCAGTGAGTGCCCCCTCCAGCTCTGAGAGCAGTGCATTAAATGTTTTTTTAAAAAGGAAAAAAGGAAATAGGTGCAAATGGAGTGAGGAGGGTGGCATTCACTGCATCTGCACCTGGATCTTGGGGAACCCCAGCAGTGAGAGGTTCACCTTCAGGAACACCAGCTGCTCCACCAAACCAGGATCCAAGCAGGTGCAGTGGAGTGTCACTATGTCCCCAACAATGCTGAATACCCTCTCACTTGGAATACTGGTCGGTGGACAGGACGGGTATTCCCAGGAAACTGGCCAGATCCAGCCACATCTGGTTCTGGCTTGCCCAGTAAGCCAAGCGGTCACACAGCAGAGGCTCCACGTCCTGGGCGAGGTAGGCAGCCACCAAGGCCTGAGTGCTACCTGCCTGATGGTGGGGTCTGGTGCCTCTGGACCCCACCATGGAAACCATGCCCTTGGCCCACAATGGCAGTGCTTGTGGTGGTGAAGGAAACTGGCTGGCAGATGGCATGCTACCATGGGACAGTGGATCTCCCTCTTCCATGTCCCCCCACCTCCGCTGTTCTGCCTCCCTGACTCTCTTCACCGGCACCTCCGTCCACTGATTCAGGCTTTGGCTGCTGCATATGCTGCCCTTCACCCTTGGGTCACACATGACGGCTGGCATGTGGACCGTAGAGGACCTCAAGGGATCAAGTCATTTCCTGAAGCCATCCTTCAGCTGCCTTACCAGTGCCTGCACGTCTGGTGATAGCAGCTTGCCCCAGCCAGGAACATTGATCCTCTGGAAGCTCTCCATTTGGCTCTGAAGTTCCCTCACTACAGGGATCACCTGACTAAGGAGGGTATCGCCAGTGCTGAGGGTCTTGGTGACCTCAAGGAAGAGCTTGAGGACCAACAAGATCTGGGAGATGGTATCCCACTCAGCTCTGTTAAGGGGGCCGCTGATCCCAACCTCCCCGAGCAAGGCCATATCATGGATGGGCCTCTGTTGCTTCACCAGCCTCTCAAGCATCAGGTATGCGGAGTTCCACCAAGTCTCCACATCCTGTATGATTTTGTGCTGTGGGATGTTCAGCTCTGCCCGTTTGTCCCGCAGCATCTTGCCCCACTTGATGCTCTGGTGGAAGCAACCTGCCACCTTCCTGCATTTTGAAATGAGCTCACTGGTGGTGCTGGCACCGTCACCGGCAGCACTGTCTGCATCCAGAGTGTCCCTGACAATGAGATGGAACTTGTGTGGCACACGGTAGAGCCAACAAAGTTGGCATCAGAGACTGCCTTGACCATATTGGTCCCATTGTTGGTGACCATGCTCCTGTGGGTGAGCTCGCCCTGCCCAATGAGTCACCACTGCACCAAGTGGTTCATGGCCACCCATGATCTCTGTTGCCATGTGGGACTCATCCATCACCTCGGCTTGAAGGAGAGCCCACCGACAGACTGACTGGTCACACCAGTGCCCTGTGAAGGAGAGGCAGGCGTGATCTCCACCCCCGCTGCTCCAGATGTCTGAGGTGAAGTGTAAGGCCATCTGCAGACATGCCTTGTGCAGCTCCTCCCTCAAGTACTCCCTGCCTGCCTCATACAGGGAGGGCACCACCATCCTGCTGCAGGCAGTGCATGTAGGCACATCGTATGATGGGACCACAAGCGCCATAAGCCACCTGAACCCTGGCCGCACAACTAAATCCATTGACAGTAAGCATCTCCACCCCAATGCTCTGGGTAATCTCGCTCACCCTTGCAATGCACCCCCTTTAGTCTGCAGCTTTCCCCCACTGGTCCAGGGTGGCCAGCCTCTGCTTTGGGTGGGGTGGGGGCTTTGAAGCAAGAGGGAGACTTCCCTTTGGGCACACTCCCACTGGTGCCAGGCTAAGGAGGAGCAACAGCAAGGGGGTGGTGCCTGCAGAGATGCATCACGATCCCTGTGGTGCTCATGTGTTTTGTTCCCTTGCCCCAGCTGGTTTTGGCTTGGCAGTGCGGGCAGATAGCGTATGTGGGATCATCTGCCAGCTCAAAATGATCCCAGACCACACTACCTGCTTGCTTCTGGGATGCGGGTGCATGTGTGGATGCTGCAATTTCCCCCTCCTCAGCCCGCAGAGCCACAGCAACAGGAGTGGACTCAGCTGAGCCACTTGCCTCTGCAACCTCTACCTCAGCCTCCTCTGAAGTGCCTTCTAGGACAGGGGACCTGGCTCTAGGGGAAAGTTGAGGGGTGTGGAGCAGAAACTCAGATGATTCCCCCTCCTTCCCCAGAAGTTCCCTTGCTATGGCACTCAGATCCAGCTCCAGTTCTTCCTCTGGCACTGGAAGGTTCAGCATGGGAAATGAAATGGGGGTGAAGGAGACTGTCATGCTGGTGCTGCTGCTTGTTGTCATGGTGGTAGGGGTTATGGCTCGTGCTCTTGGAGGGGATGCAGTCTCAGGCACAGCCAATGGTACTGACCTTATGCCCTCTCCTTGCTGGAAGCCTCATCCGTGCTAGTTGCGGGAAAGAGGCTGCGTCTCAGTTTGGGAGGGGGAGGAACTTACACCTCTCCCTCTACGGCCTCTTCTGCCCCTCCCTGAAGTCTTGCCAGCTGCCTTTCCAGCAGGCTTCATGGAGTTTTATAGTGTCTTGTCTTTATAAAAGTATATAAATGCATATGTGCCTTCCTATATAAATTCTAAATTATAATATGAAAGATATAAATGTATACAAATATATAAAATGTATATGTGTTTTCCTATATAAATTCTATATTATAATATCCCATAGAATTATGAAGTTGAAAAGAATAAATAAATGAATATAATAATAAAATAAAAAGGGTCTAGAAAGAAAGCAAAAGGTATTGCAGAATCCCACTTGCTAGGCTAATAAGTAGGAAATCAAATCAATGGTAGTAGTAGCCTTTGTTGTCTAATGCTCCTGAGCTTCTGGAAGATAGCTCAGTAACTGACCCCAAGGCAGAAAGCAGGCCAGGTCAGACAATACTGCCTTTAATGCTGTTTTTCCATCCCTCCCCAAGGGCACTTGGATTAGAAGGGACCTCAGTGAAGGATCACAGTCACTGGCCAGCTACACAGTCAATATGAGAGCAGTGCTTCCCCCCTCTTCCCCCTCCCTCTCCTTACTTTCTTTTTCCCTGCCATCAAGCCCAGCTTCAGCTTTGAAACTCGAAAATATTTCGACAGCCCTCATTGTGTTTTGAGGCTGTTTCAAAGCCCTTCGTTTAGTTTCCATTTCACTGTTTCGAGCTCAAAATGAGTCGGAACAGCGTCAAAATGAAACAGCCAGCAAAATTTTGCACAGCCCTAGTAGACAAGTACTGTTTGTTCTTCCATCATTTCAAAATATGAAATGAAACCCATTTATTTTTGCTTGTCAAATCTCATCTGTCAACCTCCAGTTACATAAAATGAAACTTTTTTTTTTTTCTTTTTTACCTTGGACAACAAAGTTGACAGCCTGCCTCTCTGCTTGAGTCCGTAGCCTGTAGTCCTGTGCACTAACATTTGGCAAGGGTCTTTTACGTCCCATGATGGAAACCACATAGCCTTTTGATATATAAAATATAAAAACAGCAGTGGTTAAAGATGAGGTTTGTAATAAAACTTCCATTTAGAAGATAATACATATATTTGTCAGCTACTATCTCACACTTTTAATCAGTAGAATATAACTAAATACAGAAAACAGTCAGAGTCCCTTAGCATACACTGGTGCTCCTGCTATTTAAGTGGTCAGACTGATAAGGTGAAATGTGGATTCAGTCAGACGTAATTGATATTTCCATTGTTCTGACTTTGGACCTTTGATCCCAAATGAAACCAATAGGTAGGAGTCTACGCAAATCGAGGAGGCAGATTTCATGGGCAGAATGCAGGGCCAGCCATCATTTTCACAGGCTTATTGTGGTTGCCCCTTCCCCCCATATGCCTCTGGCTGAGGAACCCCTCACCAGTGATTGGCTGAGAAGGCTGTCCGTCATGTGGCCCCACCCTCCACCACTGATTGGGGGGGGGGGCAGGACAAGCAGCCTCTCAGGCAATTAGTGGTGAGGGGCGGCAGCCATCTTGCCTGTTCTCCTATGTGCCGGTAGCCTCCCTTTGCCTACAGCAGGCTGTGAAGGATTGCTGGCTCCCACTGGGGAGCCAGCATTTTATTTGTAGAAAACTTTTTTTTTTACCCCATGGATTTTGTGGACATCACCCAATGTCATGATTTGCACAAAATTGCAATTTGAGTAGGTCCCTACTAACAGGGGTTGAAGTCACTGAGTCCTGGTATGCAATTCAAAGTTTTGCTGACGTAACATAACTTTATCAGTCTGAATTATGAAAAAAAATCATGTCCTCTAACTGCCATAGCTGCTGCAGAAAAACCTCCAATATAGATGCAGTTTTGCCAGCAGAGAAAAAAATTATTTTCTATTAATTTTGCTTATTTAATTTAGATAACTGGCATAAATTATGCTAGCCAAAAGAACTCTGAATATGTCTCTACACTAGGATGGTTTGTTGGTATATTTATACCAGAAAACCTTTTCTACTGGAAAAAGTCCATAAAAACTCTTAGTTCTGGCTAGCTAATGTGGCCACAATTAGAGTTTAGTAACTTTGAGGTAGATATATTATTCAATAAAGATGACATTTTGGCTCAGCTAAAATTATTCATGCATTTGGCCTGAACTTTCCTTGTGGGTTGGAACTTTCCTTGTCAAACAATCCATCCAGACTTAGCTAAAATATTATTCCTGATGAGAAGTAGGAATGGTCAGAAAGCAGAATTCTCAGGAGAATTTATTTACTATGATTTTATGCCATTATGGCATTCATTCACAACAGGGGGCATAGTGGGGCATGTGCCCCCCCCCCCCAGATTTCTATCCCAAAGGTAGGGCACAGAGCTACAGCCCAGGCAGAGCCAGGGCCTGGTAGCAGTGGGGGAGGTGGTGCAATTTCTACACTGACCATAGGGTATAGGGCTGAAGCCTGGTCAAAGCCAGCACCTGGCAGTAGTGGGGGTGGGGGGTGGGGTGGCATGGAGATGTGCCCCCTCCCACTGTCAAAACTTATGCATCGTCTCCAATGAGGATTTCTACTGTCAGCTGATAGCAAGGTGCTTTTGAGGCCTAATCCTAACCTCCAATTCTGTGTTTGAATGCAGCCTAAATTTAGCCTTTTTAATGTGCTTATAGTTTTATGAGTAAAAATACCATCAGCACAAATAAGATTCATGAGTCATTTATTTTATCATGCCTACAGGCAATATTGGGAATGAAATAAATATCATCGGTTGTACTAGCAATCCTGTTTGCCTATGTAATATACATATATAAAAGGACCTTGGCTGGTATCTAGCCACTAAAATGAATTAATTTTTAGCAAAAATCTGAGGTAAGAGTAGGATGAAAAAAGTGTTAAATGATATTGAACTGCTGCTGTAGCATTTTTGAGCCTGTACAGATGAAAAGTCTGCTCCTTCACTGCTAGTGTTTAGAGCATAGTTGAAAAATTAGAGGAAGTAGGGGGTCATAAGAGTCTAAGTAGACAGGTATGAGCCACCTTTCTCTTGGACTAGGGACAGATATTACACATAAACTGGTTTAAGTGATCAGAAACTGGTTTAAACCTGTAACTGAACATAAGTTTAGTGCACATAAACCAGTTTCAAAATGCCTGAAACCAGTTTAAGATAAACCTGGTTGAATGTAGTATCAGATTTAACTGATTTGGGTCAAACCGGTTTATGCAGTGTTTGTCCGAGACCCCTTCCTGGTTTAAGTTAAACCAGAGTCCCCTAGCATCCCAGATGCTTTGCAGCCCTGGGCTGGGCTAGGCTGTGCTCTCTGCTGCAGAGAACAAGCTGACCCCACCCCTCTCCTCCCTACCAAAGCTCCAGGGGAGACTGCACACACAGCAAGTTCTGCCTGGCTTTCCTTGCTGCTCGCTGCTCATGCAGGGATTCCCCCCTCCCTCCATCCCATTTCCCACAGCATGGACCCCACAGCCCTACAGACCCTATGAGTGTGGTATGCTAGCTAATGCTGAGAGGTGTTTGTGCATCTCCAATTTCTCTGGGAAAGGAAGACAGGACAAAGACAGACAGAACAGTGTCTGCTTAGGGCTTTTTGGAGCCAATCAACAGCTCAGCTAGTAATGTCCCTCTTTTGAAAAAGCTGTTTAAGAAGAGCTTGAACTAACGAGAGATACATTTGTTTTGCTGATAAACACTGCCAGGTTTGCAGACAGGAAGAGGGAGATTGAAAAGCTCAGTAACATCAACAGATGCATGCACTGCACACCCCTCCATTCCCTCTGTCTCAGAGTGTTAGCCGGGGGCTGGGGTCTGGCAACACTCCCATCCTGCTGGGACCTGGCCATGCGCTCCCACCCCCACCCCCTGCTCAACACTGTTAAAGGGGATGGAGGGCTGCTCTAGCACCCCCCAGATTCTAGCCTGAGCTACTGCAGGCATGTGCCTGCATTTCTGGAATGAAAAAGGAATGTATATCCACCTCCAAATCGGTTCAAGCTTTGCAGGTTAGACTAACCTGTAAAGAATGAATTAATTCAGGCTCAGGCTTTTTGAATGTCTGTTCCTAACCTTGGTGGACAGCCAAGAATTTTTGCTATTGGGCTCTTGCTGGTCATCCAGATATAGCATGGATTCATTATTGTGATAGTGGAGTTCTCTTATATCAATTATATTTAAAGAAAAGGCTATATTGTACTAAATACATCAAAAGATGTTATATTGCTTGAGTTGCACACTTCATCAAGCAGGGAGGGTAGGAGTTATTTATACAACTTAAAGATTTGCAGTAACTTTACTACTTCTTACACTAATTAATGAATCCAATTATATGTGTAATGACAGCCCTTGACAGAAGTTTTTCTGAGCTCTACAAAGCATAAACAAAGAATAGCATATCTTCCATGAATAAAAGGCTGAATCAATTATACGCTGTTATAAAAACAGGTTGAAAATGCTGTTCTGGAAAAAGTAATTTTCCTGATAGTGCTGCAGCTATTGAAGTAACAAATGTGATGATGCTGCACTCCTTTAGCACTGTGATGGGAAACAAAATATTGCAAATCTATCATTTATTTCTTTTAAACGTCTTTTTAAAAGTATGCTATTTTTTTAAGGAACTGCACACATTCTTTAATACATCTGAAAATATATTACAAAAGAAAACATGCCAAATATCTACAGCTAATTCTCTCTTTGCATTACTGCCCTCTGAAGACACAGGGATGTGGACACAGCACAAAACTTGATGCAAGGAGAGCCTGCACTGGCTGGCCTATGGCTCTGTAACCACAGATGCCAAATGCATTTCAAGAACAAAAGTGCTGACTGATGCAAATAAGAATTATTTAAATAGTTTGGTTCTTGGGTTGTGTTCAGGCTTTGTGACCGACCCTGAACTTCCATGGACCAGAAACTATACTGTCTGTTTATTGAAGAATAAATTCCTCAGGCTTTATGCTGGGATACATTGTATGTCAATATGATGAAATTCAACTTGACATAAGCAGAGTTCGTTCTGGGAACAGAAATCTTATTCAGCAAATACCTCAAAATAAAAAGAGGATGAGTTTAAAAAAATGTACAGTAATTTGTATGGAATAACAAGATGATTATCCAGTTTCCTCACTATCTCCATCATTATTTCATTTTAATAAAATAATTTTATATAACTTTTAACAGTGAACTGGTCTGTGGAAAATAGACATATCTGAACATACCTGTCAACCCTTAGGAAATAAATATCTGTACCACAGGTACAGAAATCCTACTAAATCCAAAGTCACCATTCATTAGGGTAAACCCCAAAAAAGAAGAAATACCTCTGTGGTGGGCAAAGATATAATATACTTACACAATTACAGCCAGGTAAAACAGAACATAAAAAGTGGTTGAAATAATTATTATTTCAACAATAATAGTACTTTCTAACACTTACAGCACTTAGTGAAAAATATTAATGATCTTGCCCAATACAGGTCAGGTAAGGAAATATTTTGTCTATCTCCAGTTAGAGGTGGAAAGCAGAGGGGCCAGAAAGATTGAAGACCACATTTTCACAAAAGTAGAGAATGCTTGTACGTTCAGTTTTAGGATTTGATTTTCAGACGTGCTGAGCACTTACTGCTTCTGTTGAATTCTAGGGGAGTTGTAAGTATTCAACACTTCTGAAAATGGTGTTGAAAAGTTGGACGCCTAAAAATAAAAGTCACAAAGTTGGATTAAATGACAACTAAGCTGAAAATGCAATGCAGTGCTATTTATGGGATTGAAATCCAGGAGTTTCTTAGCTCTCAGCCCACTATCTCACAACCTACATATATAGTATTCAGGGAAGTTACAGAAAAAGATTATAAAATATTAGGGACAACATGCTCTAAGACTCAGGCAGCCTACATAACTTCAAAAATGTTAACACACATCTTAACAAGTAAGGAGAATTAACAGCTGACAAGCCATTGTGACTGAGTTAAAATGTTTTCAGTATGTGTCCATTTACCTGTAAAGACAAGGCCTACTACATCTGCTCTACCAGCACCAAATTCATTTAACAGTGGACCAATCCTGACCTATTTTTGTTCATCTAAAATTTTAAGAGCAATGAGTGGCCAAAACGAGTGATCATATTTCTATTCAGTTGTCTGTATAAGAATATATATTAAATAAAAGGCAGATATGTTTAGAAGTATCACTGAAGCTAGTAGAAAAGATTAAGGAACTCAAGACACTGCCCATTGCAGCTAATGAGGATATTTTAAATCTCATTCATTAAGGACATTTTAGGATGATTAAAAGACACCCCTAAAGAGACTGCGGTGTTACTGTGAAGTGCATAAGTGATGATGAGACATTTAACCCTTTCTGCCTCCAGCTGTCAAAACACCAAGTTTCTACCCTGTCTTGTTACTAATCATTCTTTTTCTACTGAACAACTCTATACTGCTTTACACGCGCACACTCAAATCAAATCAAATGTTCTTTCAAGGTCGCCAAACTAACGGAGGTCAAAGCTAATTTTAGAGATTCATAAAGTGTTTTTATCCTATAAATGCTACCTTGGGTTTTTCTGGGTTGAGCCTCTATCCTTGAAACTGTAAAACAATAACAGCTGGACAGTAAACTAAAACATTATTAAAAGTTTGTATTACCTTTATGCTGGCATTGTTCAATAGTTTTCTTGGTAAAGTCATGGACTTTCTTGTATTTTTGCAAAAAACTCTCTATAAACCGACTGGCTTCAGGTGGAGTAATTCCCAGACATCCAGCAAGACGGTCTTTACCTTGTGCACAAATTGTAAACCAGAAGATCATTTAGATATTGCTTCATATAAATATCACGATGGCGCTGTATATCAACTAGTAAAATATTACTATGCCAACTATTTCACAAAGCTAGACGGATCACATACACAGAGGTTCTGTTCCAGCAAAGCCTGTAAGTACTGGTTTAAGTTTAACCTTACATGCTTTTCACAATGTGCATGGACTAAGCACAGGACAGAGTGCCTTGTTCAATTTGGATCTAACTCAACTGAGACAATACTCATCTTGCATTAAATAGCTTAAAAACAAAATTTTGATTGAATCTGTATTTTGGTTCATACCAAGTATTCAGTGCTGTTGTAGTATTGCTCACCTTTATTCACAATTCAGTACGGGACTGAGTTGTGTAGAGCACTGAAATGAGGAATAGGAGTTTAAATATACATTGAATAAAAAGAGAAGTGAGCAAAGCAATGGAAACAGAATGGCAATATGGCTGGATGATTTTATCTACAGTATTTTGACGAAGCTGGAGACGTTATAGAGAAGAATTTAATAGCTGAAGCAAAAGATGATCAGACTGTGACTGTACCTCAGTGCCTTAGCATATGGAATGGAAAAGAAAGGACAGATTTGAAAAAGTTTAGTGAAAGGAGTAATAGAATTTCCTGAAGTCTAAATGCATAATATAAGCAACATTATAGCTCAGAAAATATACAAGATAAAGCAAAAGAATACGAGAGAAAAATGACGGCAAATTCTTCCATAGTATGAGATTCAAGCTAAAAGCAATTTAAATAAATTTATAAACCAAATAGTTGAAGTACATATAAAACACACATCAACATTATTCATTTTAGTCTTGAAAAATGGATACATTCATTTGCCAGGTACAAGGGAACAAAAAACATCAGCGTTGTGTCTCCATATAACATTTGTGCAGAGGCAATGTACCGTAGCACCAAAGATATAAAGTAGTAGTCATTGCAATAATATTGTCAATAAAAACTATCTGACATATTTTAGAAAGACTTCAGCCACCTAAATGCTACCACTATCAGTCTAATGTGCATTTCATTAAAATCCCACAGCATTTTGTACTCAACTATAAAAGGAGAGGCACTGATGCCCAAGGGGACTAGTCTAGACAAGTGCTAGGATTAGAAGTTCACAAAAATATTTGAGTTCACTCCTGATGGAGTTATGCCAGTACCAGTTTGGCACCCTATTAATTTAGCCTTTTTCCTTCAAAAGGCTTTTTTTCATCGTTCAGAAAACTGAATTAATAGTGCACATGCATGCGTGTGTGTGCATATAATTACCTTTAAATTCAAGAAACTTGAAAAGGACAGAAAATGCTTGCAAGTTTTGTGGGGTTTTTCCTCCCTTATGTTTTCCAGCTTTTAAAATAATCTCACAAGATTGAAAATACAGATTATTTGTTTAGTCACTCCTTATTATACCCACGTATTTTGACATCCCTTTATGTAGAATTCAATCTAGGGCCTGATTACACTGACACTGAACTAATTAACTAATTATTTTACAAACACTTTGGTGGCTTCCTTTATTATTTTTAGAGGTGACTGGGGCATAAACAGGTGAAATTGAACAAGCAATCTGCAGTGTTGTCAATTTTCACAATATTTGATGCATAGTTAAAGGGTCAACTTCTACATTTGATGAATATTAAACATTAAAAGACAAATGACTCCAACTCTAAGTGCTGAAGGGGTTGCTTGATGTGATTGCAGAGCCACTGGCCATCATCTCTGAAAACTCATGGCAATCAGGAGAGGTCCCAGATGATTGGAAAAAGGCAAACACAGTGCCCATATTTAAGAAAGGGAAGAAGGAGGATCCAGGGAACTACAGACCCATCAGCCTCATCACAGTCCTTTGAAAAATCATGGAGCAAATCCTCAAGGAATCCATTTCTAAGCACTTGGAGGAGAAAAGGTGATTGGGAACAATCAGCAAGGATTCACTAGGAGCAAGTCATTCCTGACCCACCTGATTGCCTTCTATGATGCGGTGACTGGCTCTGTGGATGCAGAGAGACTGGTGTATGTGGTGTACCTTGATTTTAGCAAGGCTTTTGATACGGTCTCCCACAACATTTTCACAGGCAAGCTAAGGAGGTATGGGCTGCATGTATGGACCGTAAGATGTATAGCAAACTGGCTGGAGCATCAGGCTCAGAGAATAGTAATCAATGGAATGATGTCTAGTTGGCAGCCAGTATCAAGTGGAGCGCCCCAAGGGCTGACCCTGGGGTTGGTTTTGTTCAGTGTCTTCATCAGCGACCTGGAAGATGGCACAGAGTGCAGTCTCAGCAAGCCTGCAGATGACACCAAGCTGGGGGGAGTAGTAGATACACTGGAAGGTAGGACTAGGATACAGAGTGAACTCAAATTGGAGGATTGGACCAAAAGAAATCTCATGAAGTTCAACAAGGACAAGTGCAAAGTCCTGCACTTAGGACAGAACAATCCCATGCACCAGTACAGGCTGGAGACTGACTGGCTGGGCAGTAGCTCTGCAGAAAAGGACCGGGGGTTACAGTGGACAATAGGCACACTGCTGGCACATATTCAGTTTTCGTTGCCAAGAAGGCTAATGGCATACTGGGCCTGCATTGGTAGGAGTGTTACCAGTAGGTTAAGTGATTATTCTTCTCTATTCACTGGTGAGGCACATCTGGAGTACTGTGTTCAGTTTGGGGTCCCCCAATAAAGAAAGGGCTGTTCTTAGTGGTGACAGGTGACAGAACAAGGAGCAACAGTCTCAAGTTGCAGCAAGGGCAGTTTAGGTTAGATATTAGGAAGAATTTTCTCACTAGGAGGGTGGTGAGGCACTGGAACAGGTTACCCAGAGAGGTTGTGGAGTCTCCATCCTTGGAGGTTTTAAGACCCAGCTAGACAAAACTTTAGGTGGGATGATCTAGTTGGGGATGGTCCTGGCTTTGAGCAGGGGGTTGGATTCCTGAAGTCCCTTCCAACCCTAATTTTCTATGATTCTATGACTTCATTCAGTTCCCTTGGGTTTGTCCACACCACAGTGGCAACATGCCTGCCCAAGATGTGCCTGGCAAGCCATGCCCAGCTGTACCTGTAGGCATACTCCAAACCCTAGAACACGTGGGGTTTGTTGAGACTGCTGTGGGCTATGCCTCTGAACTCAGCCATGCTTGAGCAAGGTGCTGGGGACACATCTGGAGCAGCATCACCAGCGTACTCCAGGTGAGGAGCGTGGCCTCAGACATGAGTATATAGGGTATGTTTGGGCCCCTCCAGGCCCCTCCTAGCCAGAATGGATTTCTGACATGATGTATTCATGCCCCTCACCACTGCTCAACTGACGAATGGAAATAAAAAGAAAAAAAAGGATGATTCTATTTTTCATGATTGCAGTGAAGACCTTGGAGATATGAACCAAATGTAACCTACAGGCTAAGAAACCAAAAGACAAAGCAAACATTTATTATTCATAACCGTAAGTTCTCTTTTGACTTCAATAAAGATAGCAGCAGGCCCACAAATTGCTAACGCCTTAGGGGAAGAGGCCTGTATTTTTAAACACTAAGCAAAAGCGAGGGAAGTGTTTGTATTCAGATTCTTTATTTGTATCAAAGCATCTGCTTCACACTTAGTCAAAGAGGTCTCTGGTAGAAGATTTGTTATCAACTTAATACCTGAGAAAGTTCTAAATCCAGATTTTTTGAGAGAAATCCGAAAGACAAACAAAAAAACAAAGTCCATAACATGAAATCCCTGATATCCCTAAGGGAAATGGGAGGTAGTTAGCCATGTTAGTCTGAAGTCGGGCAGAGGCATGGTAGATTTGTACTTTCATAGATTTCATAGACATTAGGGGCTGGAAGGGACCTCGTGAGATCATCGAGTCCAGCCCCCCCACCATAGGAAGGAAGTCAGCTGGGATCAAGTGATCCCAACAAGGAAATATCCAGACATGGTTTTGAAAAAGTCCAGACCAGGTGCTTGCACCACCTCTGGGGGGAGTCTGTTCCAGACCCTGGACACTCGCACTGTAAAGAACGCTTTTCTTATGTCTAGCCTCAATTGGCCTTCCTGGAGTTTATGGCCGTTAAACTTTGCTATCCCTTGGGGAGCTCTGGTGAACAGCTGCTCTCCCAAGTCCTGATGTACCCCTCATATAATTGTAGGTTGCTACCAAGTCACCCCTGAGCCTTGTCTTTTCCAGACTGAAGAGTCTCAAATCCCTCTGCCTTTCCTTGTACAGCCTGCCGTCCAGGTCTTGGATCATACAAGTGGCTCTCCTGTGATGGCCAGAACCAAAGGGTTAATGAGCAAATTATAGCAAAAAAGATCTGCTTCTTGAGAGCATCTAGCAATGGTATAATAGTTAATATTAGCTAAGGGAAAGCTTGCAAGATTGTTTCCAGCAAACATACCCTGTCTGTCACAAGTATAACCACGATGTTAAAATTAACTGTCTGTACCAATCATAAGACTAACATGGGCCCCAAGAAACGGAACTAGAAAACAGAACTGCAAACTTTAGCTGACCTAATGGTTCTTGCTTAAAGGTCAGTAAAAATGACAAACCTGGCCACAAGGTATAATTAACACATTTCAGAAAATTCCTAAAGGAAGTAACCAAATGGGTTGAATTTAGGCATAGAAAATGCTAATCTCAACCCCCAAAGTGATGCGGTGTGATTTGCTTATTGGTAAACCCAAGTTTAGGCAGTAACCTATTATGATAATTTCTCACACCTTTTAATTTCATAGAGTAACAGCTGTAGAGTAAGATTGTGAGTGGCTCTGAAGCCAACAGATTAGCATAGGGCAAGATATAAAGGAGCATGCATGTCAGGTGACCAGTAGAAAGGACAGAACAGAATGGTCATTGCTGTTCCAAGCCCAGACTCCAGACTCCCAGTGTGAGCAAGAACCAGATCCTGCCTAAGGGATCTTCCCCGGTGCTCCCTCCGACCGTGTCGATCGGGGACGCTTGACTTCACTGGATGAAC